AATGTGCGTTTTTCATTAATCTGGTTTTATTAATATCACAATGCTGTACTTCAATGAAATATTGAGTGATATCAATATGGCCATGACAACAAGAACGATGAAGACATGTCATACCATACTTATCAGTGATATTAGGATCACTGTTATGATTATCAATAAGATATTTAACAGGATTAATACTACCTGACCAGCAGGAGTAGACTTAATGGTGTACAACCATAAGTATCAGTATCATTAGCATTTAGATTATACTGAGATATGATATAACTTAATACACTAGTAGAACCTGACCAGGCAGCATAATGTACTGGAGACTTACCATCATTAGTTAATGTACAATTGATATTATATTTTTCTAATGCTTTCACTAGTAATGTACTGCCACTCCATGATGCAAAATGAAGTAATGACAGACCATCATTTGTAGTGGCATTGATGTCAAAGTTAGGGCAAGTGCTAGCTTTCTTGAGAAGTGACGAAAACATTTTAACTCTTTCATTTCGTTTGATAAAATCAATATTTGATTTTATTCTAGTATTATTAATACCAATATTTGATGCATCACTTTGTGCCATAAGCTTACTATACACAATACCAGCTGGAATATGTATAGTTGCATAACATGCATAATGTAAACATGACATACCATTATTATCATTCACTAATAATGCTTCATTACCTTGAATACTAACAATATACTCAACAACTGATGATGAAGCATACCATGAAGTAATATGAAGTGGAGTCCTACCATATCGATCCTTTACACCAATAAATAATTGATATTGATTTAAAAAATATTTTAAAAGCTCAACACTTTTATCATTCATAGAATAACAAGTAAAATGTAGTATACCAGCCCCTGACTTTGTTGTGTCATCTGGTGAGAAGAGATCTAATGATTCAAGCTTGTGGACTAATGTTAACTCTCCACTTTGACAAGCTAACAATGATAAAGACTCACTATCAATATTAATATGAAAAGGATTACAATTTCTCTCAATAAAGAATTTCACTAGGTCAAAATGGCCCCCCCATTGCTGAGTACAGTAAAGCAGTGTTATTGCTATTGTCTGGTTGATCAAGAGGAACATGACATGTGTCTACTAGATATTGTACTATGGATAAGTGGCCTTCATAAGATGCTACATGTATACTAAATACACTATTATCATCACCTTCATTAGGATCAATACCATATTGATGGATGAGTAGTTGAAGGATCTCAATGTGCCCACCATATGATGCAGAGTGTAGTGGAGTCCAACCATGAAGACCACAATGAAATGTGTTGCAACCAAACTTGTTAAGAAGCCATTGTACTTCATCTTTTAATCCTCTCCAAGCTGCTTCATGTAATGGTATACTGATATTCTCATGCCATAATGGATCACATATATCTATAAATGAAGAATATCATTAACACATGTATGTAATGCTGTTTGACCATTGCCCACAAGAGGGATTGACTAAAGGTCAGTTCATGCACTTACCAATATCAATGGATGAATGCTTAACCTCTTCTATTGAGAACTGTGAAAGTAAAAATTTTATAAAT